TTTTAATGACCAATCCAGTTCTGATACGCCTCAGCTAGATACTAAACCTGACATTGAAACTCTGAAATAATCGATTGTACTTCACTCTAGGTTTTAAGAATTACTACAAGATATCGCGGTCAGTAAATCGCAAGGCCCTGATGAAATCCCTGAGAGAGTTCTGAAGGAGGAAGCTAAATACCTTGCTCCTACTCTGGCCAAGTTATTTAATGCTTCCCTTAGAAAAAGGGGGGTGCCTATCGATTGGAAGCGAGCAAACATTGTCCCGCTATTTAAGAAGGGCAAACATATAATGATGCCAGCAATTACAGGCCAATTTCACGAACTTCTATTGTAAGCAAGATCCAGGAGAAAATTGTTTTTCATCGTGGTCCAGTACAACATCCGGCGTACCCCGAAGGTACCATTCTTGGTTCAATATTTTATATCCGTTATATCAACGAAATTTATCTAAACTCCAGTCAACACTCCGTCTCTATGCGGACGACTGTATTCTTTACAGGCCCACCCGCACTCAAAACAATTGTGACATATTGGTCCGAGTGTTGGAAACTCAATTTTAATATTGATAAATGTGAACTATTGAAGATTTCTCGAAAACACACAAACATAAACTACAAGTTTCGCGTCGAAGGGCGTTAACTGCTGAACACAACCACTGGAAAGTACTTCGGTGTCACTATTGACAATAAACTTAGCTTGCAAGGTCAATGTAAAGAAATTAACGTGAGGTGCACCAAAATCACGGTGTTAATTAAGAGAACCCTGTTAAACTGCTCTTGTAACGTCTTCAAAAGATTGTATATTTCCTTGATTAGGCCCTGGGCAGACTACTGTTGCACAGCTTGGGACCCATAGACGTAGCTATTCGGACATCATCGAACGTATCCAAAATCAATGCGTCAGATGTATGTACAGTGATTGGGACTCGAGCTGTGATTCATTGCTCTCTCTACTTAGCTGGACTAGTCTTCAAATAAGGAGAAAATTCTTCAGTCTTGTGCTTTGCTATAAAATCATGAATAACACTATTAATGTCAATGCTATTAATAAGTTTGTTCCAGCTTCACCAATCGGCCGAAATAGTCATAGCTTAAAATTAACTATTCGTTTTGCTATAACTGATTGTCTCAAATATTCTTATTTTGTCAAGACAGCTAGGGAATGGAATAACCCTCCCCACACGGTCATTGATAGTCCCTCTCTATCTTTCAATCGTCACTCCAGTCTAATCTTATCGTGTAACTGTTTATTTCTTTGTTTTGTTTTATTTTTAAGTTTTGTACGACGCATTTTATGTGCTTTCTCATACTGTTTTTGGTTTTGTGCTTACATTTAGCATGTTTTAAGACTTTTTATTTTTTTCCTGCAGCCGTTTTCAGTTACGTGTAATTGGTCCATTTCTCGTTGTCGTTAATCGTTACTGTTTTAATCTTTTGTCTATTTTATTGGTCTATATTTTAGTCGTGGTTTTATATGTGTCTGTGCTAACTCCTTTGCCTATAAGGATGCAACAGTATTTTTCTTCTTGTTTTGCATAGTTTTATTTGGCATTCATTTGTCTTACTTCTTCACCGCTGAGTGCCGACTCTTAAGCAAATCTTGACCTTCGGAAATTTGAAAAGCAGGTGGGTCACCACGTACAGATACATCGCCCTACAGATAGGTTGATGGATATCTATTATATGTAATATTCGTGCCGAATTTTACATCAGAATAGATGTTTAAGGCTTTTCAAAAATTCCTTTCTGAGTGCTGGTAGTGTTTCACGCACGAGTGGCATTATGGTAAGGGAATACCTTTGATCTGATGTTTAACCCTCAATTAATTACGATATACGAGAATGGACACTGCTTATAGCCCCGGCCAAAGAAGATGGACATCATTGGCATCCAATTCCTGGTAATTTAGATAATTTGATATACATTATCGTAAGGAAATCACTGTCCTGGATCAATTAACTTTAAACCTGCAATAAGGAAGCCAAATTTCATGTAATTTACTGCTTATTTATTTTCTTTAACTGTCAGACAGTTATTCGTCATCAACCCCGTCGACTGTCTTTTTTTTCTTATAATGCCCTTGATGCACCCGAATAAAATTTGTACATCTGTAACATTTGTACGATTTTCCCTTGAAGCTCTAGACATCCACGGTAGATCACTGTATTGTTTAGGTTCAATTATTATTTTGTAAGAAAACCAGCCTAATATAAAATTATAGGCATTTCTACCCGGAGACGATAATCTTAAAAGTGCACAACGTACAGTTTACGCATGTGCATAAGTTCAGGTTCTGTTTGTTTGCTGCACGCTGTCCACTGAACTACAGTGTCCTAACACAACATGATCGGTCGTAAGTAAAGAACTATGTACCCATGCTTTTGTACCTTTTTGTACCTTTTTGTACCCGTACACTTCCGTAGGGGTAACATTCAAAGAAAAGTTTGTCAAATACTGCTCACTTGATCTTCAAGCACTATATTGTAGCAGCTGTGAGGCAAGCCAGTGCAGCCAAATCATTTCCTCTTACAAGATGATTCTACAGGGTGTCCACATAAAAAGTATACCGAGATAAAAATTACTGTAATAGCAAAACTACTCTATATATGGGAAAGAGAAATATATCTCTACAAAGGGAAGAATGCCCTCTTTGCAATGGTATACAGCTTGTGATGTTATTGACACAGATGAATGAATAAACTAGGCCGGTCCCAACGCACTCGTCCCTAGGTGCTCAGGGACTCTCCGGAACGTGCCGTCCGATGCGCCGCACCTCGAGGAGGGCGCCCTCGCCTTCGTCGGAGGGGCGCTGCGTCACAGTATTAACGGAGAGATCATAAATATCTAATTTTTGCCTCCAAAATATGTTTCACCACGTAAAACCTCATTCAGGATCCTTCTTTTGCTCCCACTTGGAAGATCGGAAAGAATGGGAGATTCAGTCCATGTTATTTGAATGACAAGCGGACCCATCAAATGTATACACAATGCTACATGTAATTTTTATTGGAACAGCGCAAACATTTTTCTTACCGGAAAATTGCTGCAGAATGATCCTTGCAAATGGCCTACAGAATACGAATCTCCAGCCTGAATACAGCCCCGTACTGCCTCTCTGAAGCCAGCCAAGATATCAGTCATCCTGTACAAACAATGCTAAGCGATCGGTAGGTACATCACTGGTGCCCAGAGCACCTTGGTTCTTGACAAACACAGCATACAACACATGCTCGTCTGCATGGAGGCCCGATGATGCCACTAGATCAGGTCCCGCTGGTCCAAAGTGAGCTGCTTGCAGCAAACTATATCCGATCCATGGTGTATGCATCGAGATTTGGGCCTGTTTGACAAACTCTATTAATCTTGGATACATATTGAGCAGCATTTAGATCCTCTTTCTTGCAGGCAATGAAATATGTGAATCCATAGTATTCAAACGCAGGAACATATTCAATTAACCCACCAAGCCCCTCAACGACACACGCACCACTCGGGACTAGCCACAATAACCACCCAACGTACGAGGGTCTTACTGTGCCTGTATGGCCGCTCAGTTGCTCTGCTCAAACCACAGTTCAGGGTTTTTGAAGCAGGATGGAACCCAATACAAGGTTCCCGTGTAACGCGTTCCGTTGCGCCTTGTAAAGCCTTCGCGCTGCTGTGACCATTTCCGCGTACGCACCCATGTGACCAAGCAGTGACTTTCGCTGCCCTATCGTACTACGTACAAGGGGGAGCCTGTGCGCCGCTCTTGCTTGACACACAGTTTTGCGCGCCTAACATCTGACTCTGTTACTGGGCAGAGCGCCATCTATAATTTCCGCTGTGTGCTATGCCTAGCACCCTCAATAGCGTCACAATACTACACTTTTTGGCTCCTTTCTTGGCGAGGGGATGACCCCCTTTCCTCTCAGATTCACCCTCACTTTTATTTTTTAATTTATTTAGTTTATTTAGTCATTTATATGTACTTGGTCAATTAAGGTCTATACGGTGTCAAGTTTTCTTATACGATCACATTAGCTAATCGTTCATGTTTGGTTGCAAGGAGATTTCAGGGGTATAACCTCTCGCTGTAATACAGGAGAAGGGGTTTTCTCAACTTTTTGACCTATGCCGGATGTAACATTCACAAACAGACACATAAAAAATAGGGAGTATTTCTGCACCGAAAATTTACCTGTATTCCTTCATCCAGACGGGAACGTTGCCACACCTGAAACGGTCAGTTTTAAGTGGTTGGTGATCGGCTCGCTTGAGGCATATACATATGCCATAACATTCGCCCGAAAAGAACTTAAGTATAATGAACTGTTGGTAATTTTTAGTTTTTCAAAAATTGCCATTTTTTAAAATTAATAATGAATGGGACAAAAAATGCTTGGCCAAGTAATGGAGAAGTGGTTATATCGTAATGTCCCCAGCCTGCAATCGCTCATTGCGTTCTTCGCCAAATTAAACATAGCACGAGCCGCACCAATATGCAATTTTGAAACTATTTCAAGTGATTTGACATCACCTTTGTTAGGGCAAAGGTACTGCGAGGCACTAGCAATAGGCGTGCTTTTGGGACGAAAAACAATATAAACGTCCAAATTCAGCATTTCTCTTATTATTTTGGACAACAAATTATTTTGTCTCATGACTGATAAATACTTAAAATATAACTAATGGAAATACTTGTTTTCCTAACCAGCAACCGAAACAATAATGCTCTATGAAAATATACCTCTTGATCTGACTTCTTATAACTTAAAGTATTTTTAGAGAAGTTATTAAAATTAAATGGCAAATCTCTTTTCGCCATTCCCTACCATTTCCTTTTTGTCAAAAATAAACAGAAATTCACTGAAACGTTCCACCCTGAAACAAAAATCCCTACATGACACCACAAGGTTTACATAAATTTACAAGCTGAGGTATCGTACTTGCCGCCATATGCACTTCAACAACAGTATCCTTACAAAACATGACCGTTCGTCCGTGAAGAACCCGTTTTACCTCGACAAGTCTTTCGTGTAGCGTAGCACGCTTCTGTAATCGGACATCATTCGATGAACAATATTTTCTGTGGATGGTTGGTTGCTTGAGCTCATATTGCGGCCCAGTGGTAAGGTCATGCCGCAATACATTTTCTTTTCACAGAGATCCTGAATCAAATCAAAGCATCGACTACTCCGTTTTCGTTATGAATACAACTATTTTCGTCGGTGACTGTCAGAATAAACAGTGTGCTCCAACCAGTATGCTACTACACTTGACAGGAATATCGCCGGTCATATTGTGCATCGCGTGGGAGTGAACACTTAGCAGCCATTACAGTCGGTGCCGCAGTATCTGCTGATCAGTGAGAGAATCAGCTACTCTGTATAGCAATCAGCGTGAGTCTTCAAAGGGATTGAATAATGACAAAAGAACTCTGCTGAAGCGGATGACAAATGCATGAGTATTAGTATTTTAATGCAATTTTGTTGTGCACAAATAGCTACTCCTTAATTTGTGCCCAGCACAAGCCTAGAAAAACATGCGGCTCCGGAGACAAAGTCAAGCTGCCCTCTGGTGTGCACTTCGTCTCCTTTTGAGTATCATTTATGTCAATGTCTGTGTGACTTTAGCGGAATGGCAAGGAGATCTGTCAGCCTATGAGCTAGCCAGCTTCAATAATCCTGATCAAGAAGATGTACCCCGTGCCCAGTCGTTCAACCATTTTGCCTTGAGTGATCATGGTGATGTCTATGTTGGAGCTGTCAATTGGTTGTACAGGTTGAATAGTAGGTTGGAACAGATACAGAATGCTTCAACGTGTGATGACAGTATGCCTTACAATGGGATACCGTGTCGTCGTACAAATAACTACAACAAGATACTGGTCATTGACAGTACTCGGCCAAACAGTCTGATCACCTGCGGTGGTGTGTATGATGGTATATGTCAGTTACGACAGTTACACGATATAGGAGTTGCAGTGACAGAAACATATTTTAGTGTCGCAGGTTTCGAGGATGCAACAACTGTTAGTTTGATCTCTCCAGGAAGGTACGGGCAAGAAATGCTCTATGTCGCTGCTACCTACACGGGGGAAAATTTGCTGTTTATATTTGCAGCGATCATAACAAGACGAACCCTTAAAATTGACGATATTTTCGAATTACAGTTGAACAGTGATGCTATCCTTTTCAATAATCGTGCATTAAACGGAGACTTTACAGTTACTTATGTTGCAGCATTTGCGTACACTGGATTCACATACTTTGTTGCCTCTCAGAAAGAAGATTTGAGGTATGTCCACTACGTTTCTAAACTTAGCAGAGTATGTCAGAGTGGCTTTAATCTAGATGCATACACTGAAATCACCATCCATTGCAATGGATCAGATGGTAGTGGGTACAGCTTGGTGCAAGCGGCTCACTTTGGACCAGCAGGACCTGATCTAGCGGCATCATTGGGTCTTCATGCAGACGAGCAGGTACTGTATGCTGTGTTTGCCAAGAACCAAGGAGCTCCGGGTACCAGTGATGTACCTACCGACCATTCAGCATTGTGTGTGTACAGGATGACAGATATCTTGGCTGGCTTCAAAGAAGCAGTACGGGGCTGTATTCAGGATGGTGCAGCATACTCTGTAGGCTACTTGGATGGTTCTTTCTGCAGAACATTATCGGTAAGTTGACTAAATCAGACAAATGGTGCACCTACGTGTACTGATCACTCAGCATTATGCGTGTACAAGATGACCGGTATCTTAGCTGGCTTTAGGAAAGCAACACGGGGCTGTATTCAGAATGGTGCAAAACAATCTAGGCTATTTGACAGGATCTCGCTGTAATACATTGAGGGTAAGTATTTGTAAGTATATTTATAACCACCACATCTGCTAACGAGGTGTTCAAAAGGAAAAAGAAAAAAACACCCACTGCAACGACTGCATAACTTCATACAAAAAGACTGGCAAATGCACTGAACAGTTTATTTTCCACTAGAGGTGGGTGGGTGGAGGAGATAGGATTGCGCCACCCCTATGCAACCGATGTAAAACAACATCAACATCGTTGATTAATTCATTACTTATTTCAATTTAATAGTATCAATCTAAGCAGAAGAGACGGATTTTTTAGAACGCGTTACAGACAGTTGTATGACACACCTTCTGTCAAGTTGTTTATGCACAATCGCCTGAAGCTACACACAATTTTACATTCCTGTATTCATTTAATAAGCTTGAGCAGCCCATTGAACCTGTGCAGGGGCACAGATTTCATTGTCATTTTCTCTCAGCTTTTGCACTTATATCCATTTTTTTCCAGAAAAATCTAAAAACATTATAGCTATTACTTTATAGTGTGTGTGGAAGTTTTGGAAGACAAAAAAAATCGAAATTTCGTTCGTTCGAAGCACACGAGGTGAAAAGAAATCAGTAGGGCTCCGTTCTGTGTGAGCTTCAAAATAAATAATGTGATACGATAGGTACCATTCACTATTCTCGGTCGACGTTGTAAGTGGCGAAACATTTACTTCTAAAAAGGACAGTAGCGGCTCAGAGCTGTAGGTTGTGTGGTTGTTCTGCGAGAGAAAATAAGAGTCAAAAGAGAACGAATTCCTTTTTGCCATACATACGAAGTGCAAAAGGCAGTTCAATGGAAAAAGGCATGAGAAAAGATACAGTAACGGGCGGCTTGTATGAGCCATGGACAGGGGAAAGGGTGTGCTCAAGGCATTTTGACGGAAGTTGGGTCAGTCATGACCTCATGAACACCAACAAAAGGTCGACCCTCTGTATGAAACCAGCGCCTGCATTGGCCAGAGAAGAGGAGACCATGACAGAGTCCAAATGGCCGTTGATCCACGAGCAGAAAGAACTCTCAAAAGAAAGCATGTACTTTTCACCTCTTACATTGCTGATGAAGACACTTCAAAAGGCTTGTTAACCCCACAACAACCCCCCCCCCAAAAAAATCTGCAGTTTCTGGTCAGAAGCAGATTCTTAAATTGGTGCAGCGATGTCGACATGTCCTTTTTACCCTAACTTTTTCTCTGGAAATGTACGTATAACGCAGGATGTGCATCGCGACTGCATGCGTAGGTAACGCCGGCGGCTACTAACACTAAAATAGACTGGTCCTCTCACTTTTTACTTTTTCGACTTGTACATGTACACTGGACATACTACCAGCTCATTCGTCTGGCTCCCAGATGTAAATGTATAAAAAAGAAATGATGTCATCTCAAGAAGAGTGCCCGACTACATGTATGGGGAACTATACCCCCCCCAAAAAAAGTTAGACTTACGCAGAAGCAGGATTCCAGTCGATTTAAGAAAGTTTGGCAGATTTTGTGACATCATTTCATTCCACATGAAAGACTTTTTTTTAACGACGCACAGGTCCAGGCAACGCGCGTGAATGGCAGGGGATAGCTGGTCTGTGCAGCAATATTTTGTTACCAAAGACCTCCGTAAAGGCCAGAAATCTAAATTGAAAGAGAGTCTGCTACTTCGTACGAGTCCTAAAGGGACAGCTTGAGAAAAACAACACTCCACATGCGTTGATGACAGACGAAATATGTATTTATCCACCACAAAGAGGTTTCTCGCCACTGACTAGGTTGAATTTTTTTTCGTTTTGGACGATAAATACTCTTTGGATGAAATGAGAGCGTCTTCATGCAAAGGATGACGGGGCAGTGGAAACTGAACGCTCTCCTCTTGTGTGCTAATTGGCTATCTTTGAACATCAAATATGTCAGTGTCTGTATGACCTTAGGGGAGTGACAAGGACATCTGTCAGCCTATGAGCTAGCCAGCTTTAATAATCCTGATCAAGAAGACGTACCCCGTGCCCAAACGTTCAACCATTTTACCTTGAGTGATCATGGTGATGTCTATGTTGGAGCTGTCAATTGGTTGTACAGGTTGAATACTATAGGTTGGAAGAGATACAGAATGCTTCAACGTGTGATGACAGTATGCCTTACAATGGGATGCTGTACATGTCATCGTACAGATAACTACAACTACTCGGCCAGACAGTCTGATAACCTGCGTTAGTATTTTTGATGGTATATGTCAATTACGACTGTTACGGGATATTTAGGGAGCGTCTCAAAAATCGGGAACGTTCCTGTTCCATTCTACCGTTCCCAATTCAACGCTGGCGTTCCGTCGCAGCGTTCGGTTGGGAACGCGTGTTCTCAGTGGAACGGTCCTGCTGTTACATTCGCAATCAGGAAGAAAGATTTCTGTCATACATTTTCTAAACCTTGTGTCTCAAGCACGGCAGAAGGAGCACAGTAATTTGTGATTTACTGAGGGTTACCTTTTCTCCCGTTTTTCTTGTTCATATTAACCATAGCATAGCTTACCATGCAATGAATTTAGAATATATCTTGACACCGTTGGTTTTATTGTGTTAACTTTAACGTCTGTACTCGGGAGCGTTTTACTCATTGTCGGGCTTGCGTGGTAGAGGAATTTATCATCGCAATGTTTCCGCGCATGATTCCATCATATCAGAAACAATTTGGAAACTTATCGTAGCCTATAATTGAAGGGGTGCGGGGTGAGGTCTTCAAATATCACGGAAAAGGTTGAACGACGTGACTTTTGTCATAGATTTTCATATTGTCATATATAAACGCTGTTAGCGAAAATAGATATTCTATCCTCAAATCACCTTGATACTGGCCTTTCATGTTACTGCTGCATTGAACTTATACGTATTGTATTGACCTCTTCAACAACAATGAACCTGAAAGATAAGTTTCAAGTCTGAAAAGCCACTAGGGAGAAATGAAATCCTTATGGCTTATTTTGTTTTAACCCTTCGAGCAGACTCCGCCCCTTAAAACACACCCTTCCTCCATGTAGTGATTGTATTTTCCAGGTCTGTTCCCGCGCATGCCTGAACCTAAACGACTGTTTTATGGTAGCTAATGCATCCCTAAGGTCCCCTCTAACTACATTCCATTATTCTGCTGCTGAAGTAATACCTGGTCACAACTCAAACAGCCGCCCAGTCAGCACATGTCTCAACCAAAGAGTAGCCACGCCCCCCAATCACACCGTGTTTTTGTCTCCAGGTCAGTTGCCGGTCATGCCTTAACCTGTACAACCTGTACGACTGTTTTATGGTAGCTAATACATCCCCCAGGGATTCTAAATTCCATTATTCTGCTGCGGAAGTATAACCCAACAGCCGCGACCAGTCGGCACATGTCTGTACACAGAGAGATCCAGTTCATGTTAATGACCATATGGGCTCCTTAGGGGTGACTGATCTTTCAAGAATTATAGCTCCCAATGGGAGTTTACAGGTTTGTGGTGTATGCCTGGGGTGAGGAGTACAAGAAATCTCTGCCAAGTTGACCCGTTGGGAAAAATATCATGACCATATTTGGTGATACCTGTCGATCTGTATCACCACGCCGTTTTAACCAAGACCGATTATTTAATTACTTCTCAAACCAACCCTTTAAAGTTTGTTTAACCAGGTCGAGTTTTCGCCCTACTCGCACCTGACGCTGGTTCCTTTTCTTTGTTCAGTTAGTGACTGGCACTGATTCCATTCCTTTCAACTGCATCATGTATTATACTTTTGCAGAACATGCATGCTGTACGTGGCCGTGCAAAACAATTCTGACTAGCGCCCTCTTCCGGCCTTACGCCTCTTTGTTCTCACAGCCCACCCCGGATTTTACGCGCAGAATTAGAATATTTATGTTACATCCTCGTTTTTATTTTATTCGCATACGGGACATTCTTTGGGGCATTTTCAGATTTTTCTTGTTGAGCAAAAACGCGCAAGTTGTTGATTTCAATCCAACTTCGGTGAGATAGCATCTCCCTTTTTGCCTGTGCTGATAGCAATTACATTCTGGCTGCTTGAAGAGTTGCAATGTTTAAATACACATAGTTTGATTGTTATACGATGTTTTAATGATGTACCAGTACTTGAAGAATTGAACTTGAAGAATCATCTCACAGCAATGGATGACTGTTAGTCCATAATTGGAAATTCGTTTCACATGTGAGGTGAAGTGAATCCTATACAATTGACTCTATAGCGAGCTTTAATATTGTGAGGAACACCCAAGCAAATTTTCGTTCTGTTACGACTACATTTGTTAAAGGGGGAAATGAAACCTTCATAAAATTTACTCTGGCTAGTATTTATCGTTGTATGGACTTTCAAGAGTGGGTAATTCCAGACCTATGTCTTTCTGAGCTGTTTTCTCGAGGGCGTTCCGTTCCCATGTTGATTTTTATGAGATTACAAAACAAATTAACATAAATAAAAGTAACAGTTAAATAACGTATACGATAACCAGAAGTGTACCGTCAATAGTAAAATATTATTTGTACATAAGGCGTTATATACTTGTAGTTAAATTGTAAATAATATTTCCGGGTAATTGACATAATGCGGTAAACATTACAGTAACGGGATCGTTGTTCTGGAACAATAAATTATTAACCTGTACAAAGGAAATAAATTTTCAGGTAAATTGCTGGCTATCTATTTCATTTAGAAAAAAATCGTCATCATCCCTGTTGATTGTCGTTTTTTTGTAATACCTTTGATACACCTGAATAAAATTTGTACATTGGAACTAGCTGTTTCCCCATCCTTATTTCTGAGTGGACCCACTCGGTAACATTAGAACGAT